AAGCTCTGAGGGAGAAGAGACCTGGAGATCACTTCCTGTAAAGATGACAGCTTTAGGAAACAATTCTATTCCACCTGACAGGGTTGTTATGCGCTGAGATTGAATCAAAGGCAACTGTTTGTTTTTTTTTGGGGGGGGAAGCAGGTTACATTCCAAAGTTTAAGAGTTATTGTATAGCATAAGCTGAATTGTGTAAAAAAGAAAAATATAATACACACAGGAATAAGACTACCAAGAAAATAAATCTGTAACAGTGGTTTTCACTAAGCAAATAACTTTTAAATGCTTGCTTAGAGCGTCTTCTCTTTAGCTGAATGTCTAATAAAAACATGATTAAAAAACCCTTTTTTAATACATAAAAGAGGGGGAAAGTTCTTTCCGAAAACAGGGAAGAGTATCCAAAACATACTTGTTAACCTCAGAGACATGTGCTTACTTATTCTCTGACAGTCTCCAAAAGCACAAGCTTTAAGCAAGAAGAAACTGATTAAGGCATTCCAAGATGAAAATGGTTCATTCAATCAATAATTAATATTAATATACGCACATCTCCCACTTTGCCATGCTCTAGGGAAATAAGCAGCAGAGATCTTTTTCTAAACAAATTAGAAAAACAACAACTCTCAGACCCACTGCCATGGACTGACCCCAAGAGACCACAGAGGACAGAGCTGAACGGCCCCGTCAGGGTTCCACGGCTGAAACCTTTGAACCTGTCTCCTTTGTAGCAGCTGGCGAGTTCGAACTGCTGACCTTGAGTTTAGTAGCTGACCACTGAACTACTGCATCACTAGGGCTCTTCAGTTGGTTAGAATCCAGCCCTGTGCCATGGAGCTCAGCGACGCTCCAGCAAGTTGCCAAGGCTGTAAATGTCAAAGAGTGGAGGTGGGGCAGCGCTGCTCGCCTTTTTCTCAAGGAGCAGCTGGTGCATCTGAACTGCTCCCTTCTGGTGAGCAGCACAGCCCACTGCGTCACCACTGCTCCTCCCGGCCAGTTACAGACAAGCCAAATGAAACGCCCTTTTTCAGAGGGGTGACCTTTGTCACCCCAAGCCAAACCCACTGCACAGGCTGCTTCCACCTCCTGGCGATCCTACTGGCCAGAGCAGAAGCCCAGGAGCGGGTGGCCAGGGCTGCTGCGCACAGAGCGGCTGGCAGATTCGACCTGCTGACCCTTCAGTCCCCAGTGTGCTCCGGGCTCTTTATTCTGCCTGGGGGAAGGCAACATCTGCTGGAGAGAGTCGAGCACAGGTCATGAGTAAAGTGCCTGCGAAAGGTGTGTGGGGGGGGGAGGGTCTCCGAGACAGAGAACGAGTTCCAGAGGGAAAGAGGGGTGTGAGGGGCCAGCAAGTTATAGGATGGGCTTCCATGCGGGCAGGGACCTACAGAGAGGTACAGGGTATTCTTCTAAGACTATCGTAAAATTAATGCCTGGAGTGTAAAACAGAAAGGAAGGAGAGAGGAGAAAAGGAAAGGAGGAAAGAGGGGCAGAGAAGGAAAATAGGGTGGCGGTGGGTGCCGTGCGGCCCTGGGGAGCACGGTCTGTGGGGGTGGGGAGGAGGGGACAAGGACAGAGAGGAGCAATATGTGGTTGGGAGCTGAGAGGCAGTGAACAGTTTGTCAGCCGGGGAACCCCAAAATCAGGGCGACTTGTGAGGTGGGGTTGGCAGAGCGGCAGAAATTAAATGAAGACAGCCCAGGGCATGAAGGAGCAAAAGTGCTCAAGGTGGGCCTCGACCAAATGAGGCTGAGAGGCCTCTAAAGCTTTCTGGGGCCAGGGTTAGAGTCACAGAGAGAAAGTGTAAGAGAAGCGCGGCGTGGAGGGACTGCAGAGGACAGGAAGTGGCAGGGGTAAAGTGGAAGCAATCACTCCTGCACACAGTCACTGAGAAGAGCAAAGAGGGGTGCTTTCCTTGCTGGATGGCAAAGAGCTAATCACCAGACTGGAAAGTTTCGGAGCTGGAGAAGTAGGGGTGCAAGGTAGGTCAAGGTCATGGATGAGCTCAGCCAGAGGGCAATCAAGTTAACACTCATGTCACGGCTGCTGGGGAGTCACTCAGGCCTTTCAGGAAAGGCTCCTCAGAGAAAGGAGGGCTCCTGCGGACGAGAGGACACTCACATCGTAGGCAGCAGACAGCGGGCACGCTGTCTCAGGCCACAGTCTTCACAGAGCTGAAACCAGGGTAGGTGAGGGGCGGGAGTAACCAAAGCCGCACTTACAGGGGAGCCTCCAAGCCTCTCCTGTAACTTACACACCATGTCTGAGGGGAAGGAGTGACCTCATAGTGCAGAAGCCAGGCAGGCCCCGCCTCCTCCAAGATCAGCGTGAACCCCTCTGGGCACAGGTCTGACCTCCAGGGACAAGACCAAGGGACAGTACATCCTTGCAAGGAGACAGAAGGTGGAGGGCACGGCACCACCTCCATGAAGTGTCTGCCCAAGTGCGTCACGCAGGTCTGATCATGAAGAAACTTCCGATGAACCCCGTTGGGGGAGCAATCTACAAAATAAGTTGCCTATATTCTTTAAAAAAAAAAAAAGACCTGAGCCATGAAAAGACTGACTGAGGCACTAGCCCAGCTTGAAGGAGATGTGTGACTTGACAGATAAACAAGGAACATTAGCACAATTCCAGGAGGACAGCAGAGGAAAAGCAAGCACCACAGATTCGATTACGGAAAGGTCTTTAGAAGCCCCGAGTCACTGCTAAATCCCTGGTTTCTGTGGTGGAGAAGCTGGACTAGAACTAGATGCACTTTAGTCCTCAAGGTCAGATCTTTGCTTTTTAACACTTTGAAGAGACCTTTTCCAGCAGGTTGTCCCAGTAAAATACCCTATTTAACTTGTTGACTGTTGTTTCCGTGGGCGCTGATAGTATTGTTGTTATGTGCCATCAAGTCGACGACGACCCATCGTAACCCTATGAACAAGTTTTGAACTCTGCCTTATCCCGAGTCAACCCACCTTCTCTGACAGACCTGCTCCCTATGCCACAGTCACTGTGTCAATTCCTCTCATCCAGAGCCTTCCTTTCCTGGGCTGTCCCTCCACCCTTCCACGGACGCTGTCCTTCTCCAAGGACTGGTCCCTCTTGGCGACACGCCCAAAGTATGTGAGCCGGTTATAGAAGAGAAACGTCAGTGCTTAGGAAACACACAGTGAATTATTTAGAAGCACCTTCGATCTGACTCATGATGACCTCATTTATTATGGAGTTCACTGGAGGGTCTTCTTGCTTGTAATCTTTACAGGAAGGAGCTCTGGTGGAGTGGTGACTAAAACACTTGGAGGCATGTGAGAAACAAAGAAGCAGTCCTGTTTTTGTAAGGATTATGGCCTGGAAGCCCTGGGGGGGGGCAGTTGTACTCTGTCCAGCAGGATTGCTGGGAGTCAGAGTTATCAAGATTCACAGGAGATTGTCAGGACTTTCTTCCACACCATCATTGGGTGGGTTTCAACTGCCAAAATTGCTGGTCATGTACAAACTGTGCTACTCAGGGACCAACTGACAAATATATAGGCCCTTATTTATCAGGAAGGGGCGAGGGGGAGGAAAGAGACTGACAAAACCAATGTTGCCAAAAACCCATTAGTAACATTCAGGGGAGCTGGGAACTTTTGTAACTTCCCAATGTGTTACAATTTATAGCTCCTGGAACTTTCCTAGAGTTGTGCAATTACTTCAAAACACAAAGTTAAAGGCTAAGTGCATCTCTTGAGGTCAAAGGACACAAAGTATCTTTCTGGAGTCTGGTTCAACAAGCAGGAGCCCCTTACATCTGACTTCCTCCAGCCAGAGGCAAAGTGGCCAAGTTGGGCTGGAGGAGAAGGCTGGTCCCAGAGACCACTGCCAGTGTCGGAGTGATGCACCAGAGCCGTAACCACCATCCATGTGTCGGGTGCCTACAACGACGACTCAACTCCTGGCACTGAGGAAACCCTGGCAACCGTCTTGAGCAGCTTCACTGGGAAGCCAATCTGCGTGCTGGGCACAGCCTAGGGAAATGGTCACCCCTCCTCTCAACTTCGTATGTGGCTGCTGCTACATTTACCACCAGGGACCTGGCAAGTGTCCACACAGTGCAGTATGTAATGGCATTCCAGGTCCCCCTGGAGCTTGGAGTCCCGAGGCGGTCACTAAGTTCTATCCAGGTCCACATTCATTTCAAAGTCTTTCTTCTGGAGCTCAGCTTACTAATGTGGAAAGATTCATATTCCCGAGTGCCAGCAAGGCCACTGTCCCCACTATTCTCCTCAGCTGTCAGCATCTGGGAGGGGAACTTGTGTGAGAAGAGAATGGTAGGGAACTGGGTGCTCTCTGGGTTTCAAACATAAGCCAATGAGATGATGCACCAGCATCATGGGCCTGCAGAATGAAAGCTGTAAAAATGGTTCTGAACACAGGTCAAGTTTTGTTATTTCAAGAGTAATGTGGAAAACATGCATTTGCCTCTGTGACAATAATACCAAGCTGTCAATGGGGCTGGAATTAAGCACATGACCGAGGACGCCTGAGCATGCTGGCTGTCTGTAGCCCCTTCCAGAAAATCCTGTCAATCCTGGAGTCACAGGCACCTGAGCAAGAAGAGCCAGGGGTACACTGGTTACAATTACTCCATCCATTTTTCTAAACCGAAATGTATTTTGTCTCTGGTGTAGTGCTGAGGGCGCACAGGGCCTTACAGGCGGGTGGGGGACACAGAGGCCGACATGTAGTTCTACGGACGAATGACCCACGGCTGCAGACTGTGACGGGGATGAGGGGAGCAGAGATAGCACTAAGCAACCACAGCTTCACCCCGAGACCAGAAACTCTCCTTCCCATGGAAGGACCTTCCAATCTGAAATACTGGCTCTGGCCTGGATGATGGCGGGAGCCCCACGCCTGGCCAGCCACACTGACTGCTCAGTCCTTCTCAGAAAAACCTCTGAGACACGTGAGCGGCCTGCAGTACCTCGGCCCTCGAGCAAGCATCCGTGACAGGACAGACACACGCTTACCTGTGGCTTCTATATACTCGATACATCTTTCAATGAAAATAGGGATGGGCTTCTCTGGAGTCACGACGGTTGTAAGCGGCACCCCAAAGTAGTTGCTCTCCCAAGTTGCCTTTGTAATGGAGGGCCTGGGTTTGGGCTTTGGTTTCTGTCCAGGAGAGAGAAGAAAAGGCACAAAAACACCATGAGTTTTCCAGAAGGAATCGACTGCAGTGTGGAGTCAGCGAGAAAGATTTCAAGCTCACTGCGCCGACTCTGAATTCTCCAGCTTCCGAATACCACACGGGAATGCTGGCACAGTGCCACCCTGTCACACCTTGAGTGTGAGGCTGTGTCCTCAGAACAAAGGTGTTTATAGGAAGCTGCCTGTATTTACTCAGGAACACTGAGATGGCCTTTGTCAGGGATGCACTGGAGGAAATGGGAAGTGATCCAAACATCCCAAATGGACAATGGCTGTCATGCACCCAGAGATACTGTCAGATCTTTATGATCATAGATGGAACGAAAACCTCAGAATTTTCTCTTTCCAGGAAAAGAGCTGGAACATGCAGTTTGCTAGGGCAACTCGCCTGAAAAGCGAACTTTCCTTTATCCATTAACTTGAGGTGAATTCCCAGTGGTGTCTGAGTTAGGAAAGGGCAAAGCCAACCAGTAATCACACAGGACAAATAAAACATTGTTTGTTCTCCATGGTCACTCTTCTCATGTAGCGGAACCACCAGTGGCAGCAGCAACTACTGAAGCCCTTGCCATATACTGAGGGAGGTCAAATGTCTTTTCTTTTAAGCTTCTCAATATTCCTTTTGACCAAGGTGGGGGGGGAGGGGCTCAGATGCATAAATAACACACTAGGAAATGCAGGTGATGGGATTCAAACCCAGGAGGGCTGATTTCCAAAGCCCATACTTCAAAACATCATTAATATCTAGATATTCTATTACCAAATTATTTCGTCCTTTTAAAGTTCACATGAGAGGGAAATGTTTTGTTTTTTTTTTTTTCACAAATGGTCAATTTCTTAAAGCCTGAAAAAACGAATATACCTGAAACTCTGGCCCTTTTTTAAAACAAACCAACCAACCAACCAACCAACCACCTATTCAAGAGAAGGAGAACGAAGTCCACAGGTTGAATGGGACATTCAAGCCTCAGTATCCACTGGCCTAAGACTAGAAGGACTAGATGGTGGTAAGGCCACTCTGCTCTGCATCGTAACAGAAGATCCTGGACAAAGCAGGAGAGAACTGTAGAACAAAATTCAAAATCACACACCCACACCCACCCCAGAGTTGTTTGACAGAGGCTGATGGAATGAACCCCCAAGACCATGGCCCTTAAAAGCTTTCCCTTTTTCCCCACATTGTTGCACATTTTCTTCCCCCTCCCCAGCAGCCCTTCCCCAGCAACCCTGCAACGCACCCCTTGTTCCAGATTGTTGTCATACACATAAGGCATAATCACATCTTCCTTCCAGACAGTTCTTGCCCTCATCTGATCTAATGCGGTGTTCATTATTCATTTTCCTATTCTCTCCCCAACCTCCCCAAGTCTGTCCTATTTTATAACTGCAGTTTTATGCAGTAATTGGCATTTTATGACTGAGATTTCACTCAGCATAATGTCCTCAAGGCTCCTCCATGTTGTATAATGCTTTACTATTTCACTGGTTTTCAATGCTGCCTGCATAGTATTCCATTGTGTGAATGAATGTACCATAGTTTTTCTATCCATTTGTGGATGGGCAGCAAGCTTGGGTTGCTTCCACCTTTTGCTACTGTGAATAAGGCAGCAATAAACATGGGCGTGCATACATCTGTTTGAGTGGTGGTTCTGGTTTCTTTAGGGTAACTTCCCAGTAGTGAAATTGCTGAGTCAAATGGTATTTCTATTTCCAACTTTTTGAGAACGTGGCAGGCTGTCTTCCATAGTGGCTGTACCATTTTACATGCCCACCAACAGTAAGTGTTCTAATCTCTCCACAACCTCAACAGCATTTTTGTTTGTTGGATTTTTTTTTATTTTTTTCTTTTAAAGGAAAGAAAGTGTGTAAGCAATTGCTTTCAAACACTGCTCTGTGAAATCCTAGAATTCTGTAAATACACTGTCATGGTAATAGGCTGGCGTTGCTTCTACTTCGACTCCCATCACAACGGCCATCTTTTACCCCTGCACAGCATTCTCTGGGTGCCGGCGCCTGACCCAGGGCGGCATGTCTTTGGTGGGTGGTGGGTGCAGTGCCTGGCCGGGCCCACCACTCCTGGAGAGCTGGGAGTCAAGCAGGCTCAGCACCCCTGCCCTCGCTAGCTGCCCCTCACTTGTGCGGTCATCGTGGCCTCTGCACCCTAGTGCCCATTCCATCCTGGTCATGGGGACTCCGCTCCTTGAGCCAGCGAGGCCTCAGAGGCTTTTCAACAGGGCCTGAACCTACTCGTAGATCACACTGAGCCTGTAACACTACACGGGCACCGTGCGCCTCAGGTCAGCCCACCATGTGGAACCAAAGGGGCAGCCTCTGCTCAGAAACAAGGGCAGGAAGGGGAAAGACGGCAGGGCAATGACGACGAGGTACCCAGGGAGGAAGAGGGCAGAGTGCTGTGAAACCGAGGCATTGCAGCTAATGTATAGAAATCCTGTTAAACGCAAAATTAATTTGCTATGTAAATTTCTACCCAAATAATAATTAAAGGGAGAGGGAGGAAGAGGATGACCGGAGAGGCCTGAGCGAAACGGACGTGGTCCACAGCCAGCAGTTACGTTTCATTTCCAAGCTGAAGAGGCCAACTTAGAAGGGGAGACATGCACAGGCTGTAAGCTTTCCTCACCACTGCAGAGGATGACTGACCGGCTCAGGTCAGATTATTCGCCCTCCCTCGCCTGCTCACTGTCACTCCTTCGGACGCCCATGAGATTAGAACAGATCATTTCCTGTTTGGTCTGAGAGGCTGTGAGGACTTCCTGTACAAACAAGTGGCAACAAAAAAAGTGCAAAACTATTTCTCTTTCGGCAGCGGCTGAAGCTTCGGGCTGACAGGCCTTCAAGTGACAAGGCGAACGCAGAGGCACAGCTCCCCGCCTGACTCATCACAGAGACTTCTGCACCAACAGATGCTGGGGATCCAGGAAGGGCCCCGCTCTCTGCATTGCTGTCCCTGCCCACTCGGCCATGCCCACATGGCCCACACCTAACGGGTGACCTGGCCTCTCGGGTTTCAGGAGCGGCTGCTGTTAGCACCCCTTGCAGACTTTCTAAGGCAAAGAGGGTGACGTCAGGATTCTTCCCTCAAAAATCCCCAACCTCACTCACTGCCATTGAGGCAGCCCGACTCAGTGATCCTCCACGGGGTGTCACAGGCTCGTCATTCTCTTGTGCAGCCGCTGGGGGCATTTGAACGGCCAGAGATGTGCAGACTCTGGGTTAGCTATGCAAATCGATACAGACTATGCCACCAGAGAGCCGCTCTCCCCCCAAAATAAGGGAGATCGAGGGGTAGCTATTGATCTCTCCCAGTCTGGGACAAAGAGTAAAGAAAGCCAAAGGTCTAAGCAAACAACTAGTCAGAAAGCTGAACGCACCACATCAGCCGCAGCCTTCATGACCCAGAGATCAGAAGAACCAGATGGGGCCCCGCTGCCACCACTGCCCACTCTGAAGGGACAGTGACAGAGGCCCTGGGTGAACGGGAGAAAAATATAGATCAAAATGCATAAGTGTGGGGAGCTCTGGTGGCCTAGTGGCAAGAAGCTGCAACTACAATCCCAGAGGTGCACGGTTCGAATCCACCAGATGCTCTGCCGGGGAAGGAGGGGCAATCTCCTCCTGTACCAGTCAGATCTGATTTGACGGTACACGCACACAAAAAATAATAAAATTAAAAAAAATGCATAAGTGTATAAAGACCAGGTTCACTGGCTGGGGGGACATGGCGGACCCCTAGGGTGACAGCTCACCCCTGTGACTCAATTTTCTGCCAAACAATAGACAAGTGCTAAAGGTTCCCACCAGCAGGGTTGCACATAGTCCTGAGAGCAATCGGCCACAGGAGATCAAAGGGCAGCACTTGCCTAAAGACAAAGTTCAGAAGGCAGGACGGACGGGTTACCAAAGATGTAATGAAATGAGCGTCACAGGGAAGAAGTGGGATGAATGACTCCAGAGACTGCCACTGCCAATCTGAGACAAAATGTGTATCAACTATTGACTAGAAAAGCTATCTGCTCTGTAAAGTCTCTGTCCGATTCACAATAAAAAAGTATTTTAAACAAAAGGTACAAACAAATAACAGGTGGCATTTTCATCTCTTTTGGGACTATCTCCCAACGACCTAAATGTCCAACAACTGATGGAAGGCCAAGCCGAGTATGGGATACACTTAGTCACATAAAAGAACAAAGTCCTCATGCATGCCACTGGAGGGTGACCCTCGAGGACGCTGGGCTGTGTGACATAAATCAACTACAGAAGGACAAAAGTCACATCTGTACCTAATTTCTATGCAATAAACAAATGCAGGGAAACGCCTATGGTTAGCAGGGAGGGAAGGGAAGGGCGGTGTCTCTGCTGGGAATGCCCGTGAACACGTTAATGATGGTGGGACAAGGATACTTTGGGAAAATGAGAGAGAAAATGGCTGTACAAATTGTCCATGGCAATAGTGTACGTGGTGTTGTAGTACAATAAAACACACACCAGAAAGCAATAAAGCCGACTGCCATCAAGCCAGTTTTGACTCATGGTGATTCTCCATCATGTTCCCAGGGACACAGTGCAGAGAGTGTATGCAGGTACCCATCCCCCTAAAACATACACACGGACACGGTGCAGAGAGTGTATGCGGGTACCCCCCCCCACACACACACACATGGACACAGTGCAGAG